CATCTTCGGTTTCGAGATCTTCGTCAAGAACCACTTCGAGCAGCTGTGCATCAACTACACCAACGAGAAGCTGCAGCAGCACTTCAACAAGTGAGCAGAGCAAGAAACTCGGTCTCTCTTTGTGTTGTTACGCCGCGCTGCCAACATGCCCCCCTCTCCTTTCTTGTTTGTCTTTCATTTTTTCGACGATTTTCTGTTTTATTGCCGCTCTATTTGGGGTAAGTTAGCCTGTGACCACGGGAAATCGACCGCGTCAAGCGTTGGACTATTTATTATAGTACAGGAAGAAGGTACTGGATACGGAGAACGGGACGGTTTTTGATGTGAAGACAACAACAACAACAACAACAACAACAACAACAACATTTGGCGTCTAGACTGTCTTTCGCAAAATTGACCGAAAAATGCAGTGAAAACATTAAAATTGTGGCCTATACTGTAGCGACGACGACGACCACCACGAAGAAAACACAACCACGACCACAACGACCGCACGGTGGTGCTGGTGGCAAACAAACGTAGTCTGTCTGAGGCGAAACTGTGTTCGTCGTAGCCAAGCGGTGTGTTCGCAAGAGCCCGTGTTTTGTTGTCAAGGCCAGCGTACGACACCGGCACATGTGTCACCTGACAAAACGTGCACGCGGCATCTCGAAGTATGGTTGGTGGTTTGTGCACGTCCCGTACCGGACCTGCTGGTACGACGGACGTGATGTGGCATGATTATTTTTCTGCGTCCAGCTTTTTCGCGCGTCTCATTTTTGTTTTGTTAATTCATTACCAACGTTTTCCCCTTTTTGCTTCCTCTTCTCTTGTCGTCATGATGAAATCATGTAACAAAAAAAGGCACACGTTCCAAGAGGAAGAGACGGTCTACTCGAACGAACAGATCCGGTTCGAGCACATCCACTTCATCGACAACCAGCCGGTAGTCGACCTCATCGAGAAAAAGGTACGGTACGGCGGGGGGGGGCGTACTCATTTGTTGCTTGCCTTAGTCATTTGACCATTGACCACGCGTCCCTTTCGAGACGGAGCACCGTTCCTACCCCTACTAGAGACACCACCAACATTTGGGAGCTCTTTACGTTTCCGCCACAAACTACATAAAAATTTCTTGCACATCTTATCCCCGTCCTCTAGGGCCTATTGTGCCCACCATCTATCCCCAATTATCGCGATCGTTTTTTCGCTGTTGTCTAATTTACCAAACTTGTCCATGTCACACCCTCTCTGTCTCATTTCCTCCTCGAGATCATCTCTTTCCTTCCTGTACAACTCACACTCCCCAACTATGTGGGGTCTACTCTCCTCCGATTTGCCACATGAACATGTGTAATACTCCTCTTCCTCTCTCCTACGGCTGGTATACCTCTTCCTCCGTTCTGGCAAGTCCAGATCGCCTACTCGAAATTGCAATTTCAGCGGGGGGGCGGAGGGGGGGGGGCGCACATGTGCCCATCGGGTCGGGGGAGGGTGCCGTGTGCCCGCTTTTGTAGTGCCTGTGAGATCGTGTTGGAAGCCGTTTCACCTAGAAAATAGGGCGCCTTTCTGCGTGCCCCCCTCGGGCTCGTCGCTCGTAGTAGAGTTCTGCGCTTGTTTACACCACTGCTGTACCGATGTCAGCGACAAGCTCACCAGCAAACAAACAGCACAACACCAAGAGAGCAAGACAAGATTAGTGCAAGCTTATCCGGCAAATAAATCAGCAAATGGACCGATATCCACGACAAACGTATCCAGGAAACAAACAGCACAACAACAACAACAACAACGACAAGAAGTCACGCGGCCAAAAACAACAACACCGTCTCTCTCTCTCCCCCCCCCCCCCCCCCCCCCAAAAACCCCAAAGGGGGGAGGCCCCGGGCCCACAAGAAGGGCAAAAACCCCAAGGGGCCCAAAGGGGGGGGGGCCCCCAAGGGGAAAAACCCAAAACCCCACAACCCGGGCCGGGGGCCGGGGGGGCCCAACCCCAACCCCTTCTGGGGCTCCCCCAACCCCGGGGAGGGGCCCAACAAAAAAGGGGGGTTTCGGACCCCCACAAAGGAAAACCGGTTCCGGGACCCCCCCAACCGGGGGTCCGGGGGGCAAAAGAACCCCCCCCGGTCCCTTTTCCCCCCCAAGGGAAGGGGGGGGTTCTTTTACTGGGGCCGGGGGGGGGTCCGGTTGGGGGGGGCTTTTCGGGGGGGGGTCCCC